ACGACTGCGGTACAGCGAACTATTCAAGGCAATAGACTGCCTCACACACTGATGTGGTGTGTCAGCTAGACCCTCGACTGTGGATCCGAACGTTGCGGGTTCAGGTCCTGACGAAGCCAAATGTTTTTGTTTTTTTTTAACAAGGACCTTAGCTCCCAGGTTGACCTAGCCTTAAATAAGCACCAGTTGTTCGTCACGAACAGGAAAGCGATCTCGTCACAAATACGGCAGCGATATCGTCATATATAAAGCAGCTGATTCGTCATCGATAAGGCAGCTATCTCGTCAGACATGAAGCAGCTAATTCGTCACTTATAGAATAGCGACATCGTCACGTATGAAGCAATTTATTCGTCATCTATAGGGCAGCAATTCGGCACGAATAGGACAGCGATCTCGTCACGTATGAAGCAGCCGATTCGCCACCCACAGGGCAGAGATATCGTCCCACATGAAGCAGCTAATTCGTCACCTACAGGGCAGCGATCTCTTCATATTTAGAGCAGCAGCTTGTCACGAATAGAACAGTAACCTCTTCACAAATAGGGCGGCGATCACGTTGGTTGTGAAGGACATGTCATTATGTAACTTATGCAGCAGCGTCCTTGTCTCAAATGATGCTACGGACCCGTCAAAATCTCAGAACTACTAATTTAACACACTGCAGTCCATTCCAAAAGCCGTGCTCAACTTTAAAAATCTGTAACTCAAGAGACCGTTCGATGTAAGCACTCTAAATTTGGCATGCAACCTGCTAATATGTCATTGAAAGAACTGCTGTTTTAAATGTAAACAAAAATCTAGTTATTACTTTGTCTTATATTTTTTTTTTTTAAACTGACAACGATTTGAAGGAAACAATGAGTGCGCTTACAGTCAATTGAGTAATGGGGACTTTTCAAAACATCAAACTGCACGCATTTGATAGGCGTTTCATTCTCATGTGGTCAATTCCAGCATCAACTTTTTGTGAGTTACATGAACACAATTTGCATTGTTTGAGGGATCGACTATCACACACAAAAACATCACACACTGGTGAATATGTGCAGTGATTTCCAAACATCCAAACAATCTTCAGGCGGTGTCAATTACTGTATATTCTAATTTTAGAGCTACACACATTATTAGACAAAGATCAAAGAAATTCGCAGCTTTGAGAACACAAAAGCACCTCTGCAATTGCAAATTATAAAATCACAAGGACATGGGAAATCTAAAGAAACGGGCACAAATTCGTGTTCATCCGTAAAGTAGTTTTCGATACTCTGTCAAACTGCGAGAGCACGATTTTTGAAACGCACTACAGCACACAATGTGCACTCGATTAAGGTGACCATGCACCCCCTGACAACCACCCACGCTGGAGTCTTCCAGGGCAACAGTAATTAAAAGAGTACACGCAGAGCATAATATTAGAGCATACAGGTAAAACGGGAGCTGGCATAGCTATAATTGTGTTTGGTGTTGGCTACACCGTTTGATATATTGTGTTTGTGTGAGGTCTACGCCTACATGCGCTGGGGGAATAGAGGGAGTGGGCTGGTGAGAAAACGTCTGAGGGGAAAGAACGCAGACAATATAATAGTGTTGAAGCGAGAATACACAGAGGATGCGATGACAGTGCGCACACACACACACACACACACACACATATATATATATATATATATATATATATATATATGTGTGTGTGTGTGTGTGTGCGTGTGTGTGTGTATGTGAACGCACACATATATATATATATATGTGAACGCACACATATATACATGAGGTTGCCTCAAAAAATTCCTGGAATAGTCGATTCATGTTTGAATTATTAATCATGACGTGAAGATTAGTATTATAAGCTGACAGTGACCTTGACGAAACGATATAGCAGACATGACCTTCAAATTTATTCTCGCATAGAAGTTACATAACTGTGATTGCGTCTTGTGCATGTTGCATCTTGGGAGGTGAATGTGTCCTTGGCTAAGCCACACAGGACGTTGCAGAACCAACCCCAACAGCCCCTGGCTGTTGTGTGGTTTTTCTAGGCAAATGTAGGTCCAGTAGTTTGCCACTGCTTTCCGGATGGTCGGCTTTCTTGATACCACTGTCGAAAACAACGCAAGGCACATGGCCCGCAGCTGGGATCGAACCCGACATCCCGGCATTACGAAGCGTTCGCATCGACATAGCCACAGAGCCACACAGAAATGCCAAATTTTATGTTCTGCTGAAAAGTCACTCTCAGAGATAGTAAGTTTGCCATACACAGCATATGTGATACCGCAATGCAGAAATCGATATTTTTTGAGTGGCAGAAAAGTTTCCGCAGCGGCGGTGTTAGTGTTAATGATGATACGACCGCCTAACGGGATTAAACAAAATTATAACAATGAGCGTGTTGGAACACTGTCCGTGCTGACAGATGACTTGGAGTCAAGAAAATAGCTTCAGAAGTTAGAAATATCAGCTGGAAGTAGCCACAGTATTCTCACTGAACGGCACGTGCACCTTGTTTATCAATACACGGTTCCCAAAATGTTATCTTCTGAACAGAAAGAAAAGGGAGCAGTTGTCTCAATGCATAGTGTCAGCCTCGAGTGCTAGAGGTTCCGGGTTCAGTCCCCGATAAGAGCTGTGATTTTTTCACGTGGACTTGGACTTCTAGTAATTCCCCCTGGTCTCTGAGTAGTGAGATCGGACGCTCGTATGCATTGCTGCGCACGTAAAAAAAAAATCGCTTGGCAGTTGGAAATTTAAAAAAGAATAGCCTAGCCTAACGGCGCTGCCGGGGCAAAATTTGGAGTTTAAAATCTACATAGAGTATTTCAGTATCCTCGCCGGTACTACACAGCTTGTGCACAGTGCTGAGCTTTTTCGGACTCAGACTTGAGTTAGCAGAAGAACGGGGCACTTATGGGTTAAAAACCGTGTGCCATGATGTTGACCCGTTGTTCAAACCGAAAACCACAGAAATAAAACAGAGCGACACTGGCAAAGGACCTCATCACTATGATTAATCAAGGTAGTCACTTTCTCAATAACATAATCAAAGGGCGAGACGCGGTGTTTCGTGTATGATCCTCTGACAAAACGCCAGTCCTTTGAAAGGAAATTAACCATCGCCACGCCGGACACTAAATTTCGTTTAAAAAAAAAAAAAACTTATTTAGAAAATTCCCAGGGAATTGTCTACCGGGATTTCATTCCTGAAGGCCGAACAGTTAAAAAGGAAATGTGCGTCGATATCTTTTCGTTGTCTAAAAGACACAATCAGAAGGAAAAGCCACGAGAAAAAGAACGAGCGAACGAACGAACGGAGAAAAAAAAAGGAGAAAAGAAGAACAAAACAGCTGGTTTCTGCTGCATGACAATGCATCAGGACATCGATTCCCAACTGGTGAAGCAGTACCTCGCAACCCATAATGTGACTGCCTGCCTTGAAACCATCTTTGATATTCTCCCGACTGGCTGCTTAAGTGTTCCCTATACTAAAATCGCCACTGAAATGGCGGCGATTCAAGGTTGCCGAGGCTGTTATTGTCAATGCGACAAAGTAGCTGAAAGAGGTGTGACAGAATGGTTTCCAGAAATTATTCCAACAACTGTTTCAACGATGGCAAACGTATGTATTTGCCGAAGAAAACTTTTCTGATGGAAATGTAGTGTAAATAATTGTCCTGTTACTTATTTCTACAAACATACATTCCAGGAACTTTATCTCCTTTTGTGTATGTGTGTTGTTTGTGTGTGTGTTGTTTGTGTGTGTGTGTACACATATAAACTTCTGCAACACAGACTGTATACATATATACAGATGTGTGTGTGCGTGTGTGTATGCATGTGTATGTGTGCATGTGCGCGAGCGTGTAATTCTGGATTCAACCAGACAATACAAACATCATGACTATTCATGAGACATTAGATGCCCAAAGTTGACTGACCAAGGTCAGAAAACAGACTACCGCAGTCAGCTGACCATCTTCAAACAGCCTAGGGGAACAGGAGGGGTGAAAAGAGAGCGACAAAGTCAATAAACCTGCAGATAGACAGATATATAAACAGATAGATGAATATAGATACATGAAGATCTTTGTATGTACATGTCATAAACAGGAATTGTGCAGCTCCAGGATTACCTAATGTACAGTATATGCCCCCAGGTGTTACAATCCAAGCTCCCATGGCTATTAATCGCGCACCTGTAATAACCAATATCTTTCCAGGGATAATCAAACTCCTGCGCAGGTGTTACAGCCAAGCTGACCAGCTACAGCACAGGTAATAGGAACCTGCCGTTATTTAGAACTGCCAAGAACCAAATCCTTTTATGTTTGAGTAAATTACAGGTGATCTGGTTCGAAGTCAGCCGCAAGTTCCGGAGCCGTATTATAGGGAAAACAAGAATATACCCACTGCCTACCCAAAAGCATGTTGACAAACTGGGAGCTTCCTTTGAAGTCAGAGTGCATCTGCCTGAGAGGCAAGTAACCAGCAATATGCATACAAATAAGTCAGATCTGTAAAACGGATTTGTCTATGGTCCAGGTGGCCGAAGAGTCAGGAGTGGAACTTTATATCTCCCTCAACACCCAACCCAATAAGAGAGGAAGTGAAGAAGTTTTTGTTTCTTGAGTTAAATTTATGCAACTCCTCACAAACAGCCTACAGAAGTTGCTGACATTTCCCCCAACACCCTAGTGAGGTTACTGGAGAAAGAGAAGAGGATGAAGAATGTAGGTTTTCAGTCCTAAAACAACCCTTACACTGCCTTGAAATAAATTTACTAAACATGACTGTGAAGCTTAACAAGATGAAAAAGGGGCCAAAACATGCACATATACTATGAAACATTTGAACTGCAGTCTTGATCAACTATTAAAAGAAAAAAGAAGAAGAAGAAGGAGAAGGAAGAAGACGATAAAAATGTTTATCAAGCATCAAAAACATTACACAGAGAAAGCGGATACTAGTCTGAAAGCACACAGAAAACTCATATTTGTACTTACTTTTTGGGCTGTGGATGGCTACCTTCTTCCCAGGAATGCACAGACTTGTAGTTGTGAGGTAAAGTTGCCCGCACCTGGCTACTCACACCATCCTGCCTGGTGAAATTGTGGTTGCCGCTGTTATTATTGGTGGCAGATGTAGCAGTGCCAGCATCGTGGCTTGGACTATTGCCAGAAAATGTCTGTGACTTTGACATCTGTCGATAGCTGTCAATGTACCTGTTTTCTTCCAAAATGGCTTCTCTAGACACAGCTCCAACTGTCCGCCGGTATCGCTTGCTGGATGACCTGCCAATTACACACACACACACAAAGCATAAAAAAATATTTACTTACGTATGTTTGCAAGCTTAACTGTACTTGTTCCCTTGTTCTTTCTAAGCTTTCATAGCCTACATGTCTATAAATTTACACACACAGCACTGCTCTGCACCTTATGCCAGCCTTCAATGCTCATCTTTTAAGATATTCTCTCTCTTATGTCTTCAATCTACCAATGCAGCAGAGGCCCTTGACAGTCTCACTCACAGTTTTCTGCAGACTTGTCAATGATAAGCTCAATTTGCAGTCTTGTTTAATTGGAAAGAGATAGCTTTCCATCACGTTTAAATCTGTTATTAATTACATTTTTATCAAAACACATTCAACACCTCAAACTTGTCACACACTGTGAAATACACTAACAATTTGTCACAGTAACTCCCAGACATAAATACATCAGACAAAACTATTTTTATTGCTTGAAAAAGATGAACTCCGACTTCAAAGGAAGCTCCTAATTAGTCAACCCTTACGACATCCTTTTTGGTAGGCAGCTGGTGTATTTTTGTTTCCCCTATAACAGAGCCCCAGAACCCACACGGGAGTCATTTTTCTTTGCCTCTCATAATATTGTTCTTCTTAATGTATCTCTTTGATGTCCTCTTTTTCTAAGACCGTTTGTTTCCATTTCAGAGCCTGTACTGAAATTAATTCTTTGCTCATTTCATCTCAGAGTGTGCCGAGTCTATCTCCAACTACTTTGTCTTATTGCAGTCGATTCAGGTATTTGTCCAGACATGTCCTCAGTCTTTTTTAAATTCATCCCATTTTATGTTCACGATTTTTTATCAGAAATTTATTTTCAAATGTATTTAACTTTCGTTCCACAGCTTTAGTGGTTCTCCAACTATCGCTGGCAGGTTACAATTGAAATAATGTTAGAACTGAAGATACGTAGTTTGGTCTTAGAGCTGTATAATGTGGAGTTCCATATTTTGTTAAGGCTATAAAAGACTGTTGTTGCTTTGACAATGTGTATCATAATTTCCTTTGTTGTTTTTCCTTGAGAGTCAAAATTGCTACCCAATTACAACACATCCAAATGCACCTCAAAAACAAATATTTGCACCAACACTTTGCTTACCAAGCATAAATGTAGTGCCATTGGTCGCAAGGAAGCGAGCAGAAAGAAGAGACAAATGTCGACAACAAAATTTTGTATTTAAATTGTCAACAGTAAAAGTGTTAATTCCCACATTTATTTCATCTGTGATTATGCTGATAAACAATTCATCAGTTTGTATAATCTCAAACTTTACAATGCATGTGAAGCATTCTGATATTTCCTGTCTGTTCTAATGATCAAGTCGGCTCTGTGGCTAAGTCGATGCAAACGCTTTGTATGCCGGGATGCTGGGTTTGATCCCAGCTGCGGGCCATGCGCCTTGCGATGGTTTTGACAGTGATATCAAGAAAGCCGATCGTCCAGAAAGCAATGGTAAACTACTGGATGTAAATTTGCCTAGAAAAACCACACAACAACCAGGGGCTGTTGGGTTTGGTTCTGCAACGCAACGTCCTGTAAAGGATACGCAACTAACCTCTAATGATCAAAAAACAAAAACAGAAAAGGTATGAACCCTTTTCATGCCAGTGGCCCATCGAGCGTATGATGTTAGACCCATATTTGTATTGATCAATCAGCACCCGACTGGTGCTGTGGTCAAATCATCATGCTGTTCTAATGATTACTGCTACAATATTCTGTATGAAGTAAAAGTAGAGGTAGAATGTCCTGCTCCATGGCTTTAGATGTACTGACCTATATTTTATAGACCATTCAGCACTCGGTGGGTGATGTGGTCAATATCACGCAAGCCATCTTTACTTCCCAGGAATTTAACTGGTCTCCATTTAAAGCTGGGTTAACCTAGAAGCCAAGGTCATCATATTCTACATAACCCATGCATAATGATTTGTTTGTGCTTGCTATTAGCTGAAAATGCTTTTTAAATCATGAAGCAATGAGAGGTGCTAAGTATTAGCCTATACACAAATGAACACATTTAGGGACGAGTATGGCCGTCTCATAGCAAATAAAATCAAACTGTGTTAACAAGGATTCCAAGGGACCGAAAATCAAATTCATTGTTTAAAACATTTGTGCTAACAGGGGATTAATAACAATAATACTTGCTGGGACAAAAACTCTTGTTCATGTTAAGTGGGTGTTCTTCTTAAATAAGTTTGTGTTAACAAGATTTTACCGTATAAACCACAGTATTCAGTCTACACAGTTTAGGTAAATGGCATGCTAAAGTAGGGTGAACTGTTCCCAACCTCACTACTTCATCTGCCCAGCTCGCTAGCGTAGTTGGTTAAAGCTGACTTCGAGGCGGCCATGTGACAAACTCCTTGTGGTCCGGGTTGACTCCCGGGGGCAGGCAGAAAAGCCACATTTCTCCCAGATTTACGGTACCTATAATGGAATCAAGGCCGATGGGTTGCGATATTCACAGTGCCGAGCCAAAGGGTTTACAACTCATGGTTTCTGGATACTTTAAAAAAAAAAATTTTCATACAATAAAAAAAAAAACACTACTTCATCTGCTGATAATTTTTTTTTTTGGAAAAGTGTTTCTTATCTGGTAACCACTCTTTGATGATTTAACATAAAAAACCATTTGCTGAAAGGAAACTAATTCTGTCACAGTGTAGCAGAATGTACTATAAAGGCTCAGTTAGAGCCTAGCAGAATGTACTACAAAGGCTCAGTTAGAGCATAGCAGAATGTACTACAAAGGCTCAGTTAGAGCCTAGCAGAATGTACTACAAAGGCTCGGAGAGAGCCTAGCAGAATGTACCATAAAGGCTCAGGACAGAAACTGGAAATCTTTTACCATACATAACTGGATAATGAGCAGCAAAATGCTCTTCCTACCAAGTACAACTCAAAAGTGAAATAAGTGAAACTCTAACGGTGTGTTGGGAAATGAACAGATGCACATATGGCTGGCTCTGTACAACTTGGTAGAATACTGATGCATGAAAAGGCAGACATGGTTAAAGCCTTGTGCCAGAATGTGTACAATTCAAAGGAGCAAATGGATCACCAGTCTGGTGAGACTGATGTAGCGGTAAGTGACGAGAGGATCTGGCCGATATTTGATGCTCGGCGGAAAGGCAAGACAGATGTATAATCAGAATCTTACTGGCGCCATTGGTTTAGGAACTCTGCGCTGGATGCTGAAGATGGGGATGGAGAACTTATGGGAATGCCCTATGTGCTGTGATATCGGTTCTTGATTCAACTCAACATTAATGGATACAAGAGACTTCTATTGTTCATTAGGGAAGGCAGAAAGGCAAGGATGGGAGCAGATCACCCTACTTCATCATGCCATGAGACTATGGATATGCCAAAGCCACATTTGTTTTACACCATAACAGCAGCATGGGATTAACTTGAGATCACTTCTTTTTACTATTTGAAAAAAAATGTGCCTTAGCTGACCTACCTGTACCTGAACTGTGATCCCGCAGGAAACATTTTTTTTGCAGGTGGATTGGGATGGTGCACCCGGAAGAAAGTATGGTGCTCCACACAGGACTTCCACAAGTTCTTACAGGACCTGTAGCTGACCATGTTGAAACCAATTAAATTCTCTACTGGTTCACTCTGGAAAGTAATTGCAAATGATAACAGTGGTGATTATGAACTGTGGAACCAGAAATATTCAATTTATGTTAGTGGCATGATTTTTCTTGCTAGTGTGACTGATGGTTTAACAAAACATAAGCTAGTTACCAGTAAAACTTATCAGTGTGGGTAAAATTAAGAGTTGCAGTAGCAGGTGTGACAGCTCCTCTAACTACACAGGCATTAAGTACCAATTCAGTTTAAGTTTTAACTCACAAGGTTGTTTTTTTCAGCAGCACGATGGATTTTTTTGTTTGTTTTACCTGTTTTACCTCACATAGAGCCATCCAGGCTGATATATATTTTACTTCACTGTGGTAAACATTCAGGTAGCAGTCTGGAGGGGACAAGCTGGTTGGTCAATAAAGCCTAGCAGATTGTAGTACAAAGTCTCAGATAGAGTCTAGTAGATTGAACTACAAACCCTCAGATAGAGCCTAGCAGTTCATCACGCTAGCCAGCCCCTGCTCCTCATACGTGGTACTATGCCCTCTGCTGCTGTTCTTTCCAAACTACATTTGATATGCCCAAGTATTTGTTTCCCAAAGCTGTTTATGAGCCAATTTTCCTTGATGATGAGATCTTTTAGGAAGTCAAATTTTTTTTCTCCTGTTAGAAAATCTACTATCTACAGTATATGTGACTCATGTATCCACACACCGATTCTTGCCAGCACTACCTAGTTTATATGGTAAGCTCAATGTAACTGGACCATCTTCAAATGTGTTCTAGAGAAGGCAATAAAGGCAATATCCTTCCAATTGCTATCATCAATTATGATCGGATAAAACTGACCCATAAAAATGAGCTTGTGAACAGGTGGTTCCTGAGTATGGACTGCAAAAGTTAAAATACTATTTAAACATGAGTTGACATTTATCCTACCTCCCGACGCAGCTGAATAAAAAATTGTTTTCTCTTGAATGAAATTTTCACTATCTTGGCCCTAGGAATTAAAAAAAAGGTATCATTATTTATCAACACACATAATAATCCAGAGTTTTCATTACAATATATCATTTCTTGGAGGTATTCTAGCAGCATCTGTGGCTTAGGTGTTGCAAACACAGTTCATAATTCCCAAAAGAACTAATCGAATTCGGATGCAAGCAATTAGGCAGCAGACCGCTTTGCAGTGATATGGAAGTCGACCACTCAGAGCAATTGCAAACTAATGAACCTTAAACTGTCTAGTTAAAAGCCAAAAAAAAGATAATGCTGCATCTGGTTTTGCAACATCCTGTAAGGGATATGCCATTACCCCCACCCCCCTTTTCACCTTTTTTTTTAAACTGCACTTTATGTAGAAGCAGCAGAGATGTGGTTTTTATACGAATGTTCAGAACACCCTGAACAGATAAAAGGATCAATTAAGATGGGTCCTATTTACATTTTCCGCCCCAGAAAGATGTCTTCCCTTGCCATTCATGAATTTCTGTGTCGCAAGGCTTGTCCTATGTTGCAGGGTTGTCACGCTTTTTCACCGGCAGGTGATACAGTTCCAAAACATGCAGAACTGACCCTAACCCCCAACTCCCCTATGTCCCACGAAAGAGTGCAGCCTACTTCTCATGAGAAAGTGAAGCCTATAATATACGCTGCATACAGTCATGCGACCTAGTTTGCATGCAGTTGGGACGTAGACTGCATTATCTTGCTGCCAGTTCTGCATGTTTTGGGAGCGTTAAAAGCACTCACATCCAGGAATATACAAGGTCCGACAATTAAGTTATGAGACTGATTTTATTTTGGCCAAGACAAAAATGACATCTATAAAGCAAAGCATAGAATCTAAAGAGGCAACATTCATCTATGATCTGACTTTTCATTGCCGCTCGATAAGCAGACAACAAACAAGCCACCATTTTGTTGACCTAGTCAGGGGTGCATTGTTACGTATAAGCATGGAGCAAGAGGCTAACATTGAATTCTTTTTGAAACTCAGAAAAAGTGCCATTGAAACAGTTCAATTGATGCAACAAGTGTATGGGGATAATTGTTTCTCGTGCACAAATTTTCAGGTGGTATTCATGATTCTAAAGTGGTGTGGAAATGATTACTAATGAGCCTAGATCTGGTCGCCAAATTTCTGTTCGAAATGATGAACACATTGCAAAAGTCAAAAAACAAATACAAGAAGATCATTGCTTTACTGTGAGGATGACGGCAGATGAATCTGGTGGTAATAGAAAGACTATTTATAACATTTTAGTACAAGATTAAGGCAAGAAAAAAGTTCTTGCTGGTTGTCTGATGACCAAAAACATCAGCGGGTTGAGTACCCAAGAGACATCATCAAAACAAGAAATTTTGGCCCGAAAACAAGTGTGTGTTCTCAGCCTTCCATCCTATTCCCCAGATTTGTCTCCCTATGATTATTTTCTATTCCCAAAATTAAAGTTACGATTGAAAGGGCGTTTCTTTAATGATACTGATGACGTCCAAAGGGCCGTAACATCGACTTTAAGGGTCATAACAACAGAAGAACTACAGAGGTCGTTCCAGTGTTTATGTTAGATCATGCCACTTACTGTATCAATGCACAAGGGGAATACTTTGAAAAAATACAAGTTATATCTTCAACTGTTGATTATTTCAATTTTTATGGAATTTGTCTCATTACTTAATTGTCGGACCTTGTACAATACAGGAGGATATCACCAGCCAGTGACAACTAGTAAAATGTTATGTGCTGGTACCTGATCACTAAGCACTACACCCATGCAATATCAGACAAGCCCCGCGACATAGGGATTCATATTCATGAATGGCAAGGAAAGTCTTTTTCTAAGGGCGAAAAATGTAAATAGAACCTCACGATTATACCTGCATCAGCAGGAGACAATCTACATTCTTTGGTCACATCATCTGAAGGAGGGAAAAAACATTGGGAAAGTAGGAGAGTTACAGGGTAAAAATGGCAGATGAAGACAGCGAGAAGATGCTGGATAGTCTGACATCATATCATGGCTTGGAAGATCACCTGTATCATAAATGGCTAAAAGTTCACAAGACACAAGGGCTGTGAACAGACAAAACTTTCATTGCTGCATGGCATGGACTAGGAAAAGAAGATGTTAAGGACTATAAAATGCTATGAAAAAAAAGACAAACTTGAATTTACAAATGCATTCAAAATATTTAACCATTCACCACAATTGTAAAGAAGCAGGAATTATGCAGAATGTTACTGTCATCACAGCTTGCCAATTGGCATCTTGCAATAGGAATTTACATTTATGCATTTTTTTGCAAAAGATGTCTTTAATTTCTTGTGTTCATCTTCATGGTGGTCAATCCCTGCTTTGTGCCCAGTTTCTGAGACATGACACTGGTTATGAGCCAGTTTTTTTATGTTGAAGAAATTCAAAATCCATCAAACAAATTAATGAGACTTTCAAAATTAAAGGCTACAGACAGTCTGAGAGTGGATCGAGGAAAGGGAAAATACTGATGTTTCTAGTTTATATCTCCTCATAACATGCCCAAAATATCTTGACTATCTGTGACTAATATCTCAAATCAAATTATAGATGTTTTTTAACTTGAATGATTGTCATTAATTATTAATTTTTATGATAATCCAGAAACTATATATCCACTGCCATCAGATTTTTCTCTTGATATGTCTGCTTTTTCCTTGAGGTTTCACATTCATACATCAGTACAAACTCTAGAAAGTCTGAACACTCTTTCTCTTCCTAAGATTGGCAACATTTTACTGCTAAGTATGTCTCAGATCTTGCAACAGAAAAATACTTTACATGTTACTAAGTTTCCTTTGTTTAAGAACATGAGCCGCTGCACTTACCATGAAAACGTGTGTATTTTTACATTGTCCTGGAAAACAACAAGACCCGCTGATGTCACTCCTAGTTGAATATCTGTGCTGTCTTGATCCTGAAATACACACATTACTTGCTCATAAATATTTTCACAGTTAATTTTAAAAATGTAATTATCATTTTGTAGCTCTCACACTGGTGCCTTCCTTCGGAGATCCACTGAATGTCAATTTTGGTGACCAAGTCTTGGTCTTACCAGGTAACACAGCCAATCTAAACTCTTAATCTACCTATTACAATGCTGCTCAAATCTGTTCAATTGTTCATAGTTTTAAAAAAAAACTACTTGTTATTTATCTAGCCGGCCACAATATTGCCACTTTTTTTTTTTTTTACTGTTAGCACTTGTTTGTCTTTCCAAACAACAGTGTTTACAATGTTTTTTGTGCAAGAGGCAAACATTGGAATCACAGCCCTTGGTAATGGCAAGTGGGACTAGCAATATCCACCTTGCGTTAAGAACAGTCTTCCACAATTAGAGCATGGGATTTCAGGACCATTGATGCAACTGCATTCTTTGCTTCTTCTCAGATTCTCAGCTCTTCACCTATGAGCAATCATCTTCTTCATCCCTATTTCCCTTCCCTGCAACACAGTCCATGGCATCCTGTTCCCAAGAATCCATCTCAATACATATATCATTCATGTCTCACTTGCATAAATCGCTAAATCATAGTAAAGATTGATGTCTACACTTCCTACCCATCTGTAATTAACCAAAGAGGTAAGGAATCTGTCATCCTCCATGTGTACCCTTTTCATCTGAGCCTTGAAAGACTAAGCATTGTATTTTAATAGGCTTTGATTTATTGCACAGCAAAAATGCACAAAAAATAGGCCACTTACATATACAATTACTATAAATGCTCTCAGGATTTCTTATGATGAGGCTGGCCAAAGTTATATATTTCACTAACCATGCTAATCTTGCACCCATATTAACTATGCGTGTTTGTATCTGCTACTTACCCTTGCACTATGCAAGTCCACACCATACATTTCCAATCGCTTGGATCTTTCTAAATAGTTGTATTCTGCATCCGCAGGTGTCTGGCCTCTAAAAATGTAGATAATTATGTTCAACACTAAAAAACAACAGTATGTTGCATATTAATCAATAGGCTAAGCATCTGGTCAACAACTTATACTGATGAAATCATTTACTACTCCTATCAGACAATTCTATGACTATAGATAGGTTAAGCAGTACCATTTCTTATGACCAGTGTGGTTTTTTAACCTTCACCACAGGTATAAAATCCGGTATCTGAGTATTACAAAACATGATCAGTAACACCTTAGCTACAGAGCTGGACAAGTAGGAAGAAGCAGAAATATACTAAACTCTTTCACCCTCAGCTTGTTGTATTTAACACTGACTATCCCAAAGTTTGTGTACATTAGTTACCATTTTTGAGTCAAGACGGTCCATTTTTTGTTTTTGTTTTTCAAATTAATTGTACGCTTGTCGTCCTACTGGAGGTTAAGAAATGATATCAAACCAAATTAAAAGTAAAACCAGTCAATATCACAAACATAAATCATAAGTGAACAATGCCGCTAGAAAGCCTTCATCAGCACATTGGCTTATGGTTACACTGTCGGGCTCTCATGCAGGAGACAGGAGTTCAACCCCTGGTAAGATGACAGGTGTTTTTCTGTTGGGGCAAAAATTAACATCCTAACTTGCACAGTTTGTGGCGGCAGAACTAGCCATCTGGATCGAATGCCTCAGGATCAAGATCTTCCCTGTCTACAATGCCCTAAAAAAGCAGTAAATTCAGGCAGTAGTGACAGCACAATACCACGAATAGAAAGAAGAATGCACAAAACCACTTAACTAATATACCTCCAACAGAAATTACATCTGTCTGGCCCAGTAAATTCTCTGACATGCACGTAGCCAACAAACATAAATACTGGCCAGAAAAAGCAGTGATCAACAAAAGCCATAACTCAAAGATATTAGATAAAACAGTGTTGGATGTGAAGTCCCCTAGGTGAATTGGTGCCCATGAGATGGATAAGGCGGTCTGGCTGCAGTGTATCAACTGCTGTATTTGGGAATATCAGGAGTTTCATTCATGCAATTATAGGACAGAAAAAAAAAGTAACAGCTGGAATAGAATAAATTATCGTTTCAGAGAAAGTGAAGCCAGTGAGTTTAGATGTGAATATTAGGTAATGAGTAATGAATGATTGTGGGAATGACACCTTGTACTAGATTCATCAAGGAACAGCAGATCAAGTGGTTTAGCCATCTTGTTAGAATGCAGCAAGATTAAATACCATCACAAGCCCTACATCTCAGAAGATCAGCTACTAAAGCAAGAGGACAACTGCGACAAATATGAATCTACATCATTAAAGGCACTCTACACCTTTACGGCATGAGAATAGCCAGTGGCAGCCAGCTTGCACTGGATCATAAATTATTCCCCTCCACAACGCTAAATGACACAAGTGGTTTATGATGATGATGAGTAATGAATTAACATATGGTGAACTGACTGGCACTGAGACCACATCAGCTGACCACCAACTCGTGTGAAATACATCAATACCTGTGTTGTTTGTGCTTCTCAGCAACAAGCTTCAAGAAGTCACAGCTCTGGTTTGGAATAAACAGGAAGCCGTCAAGATAGTCATCCTTGTGTTCATCTGGGTTAAAATCTCCTAGTTCAGCTGCAAATAAAACAGACAAAACATATCAGATAACACAAACTAGGTCAGCCAGAAACAGTCATACAACAAGAAGGGACCATGTCACCATCTTCACACTCAGAACACAATTGGCATCATAACAGAATACAGCCACAACACTTTCCACTAGTGCCAGCTATGTAAAGACCCCTACAAAACTGTTGACCATCAATCATTTCTTTTAGGGCCCAAAATTCAGTGAGGCTAGAAAAACGCTACTCCCTCTGGGACCAGACAAGTGGAACACCTTGTACGGAGAAAAGAATAGCTTGTGAAAACATGTAATTTCCACAACACAGCATTGGGCCAATGGGTGAATGCTCATGCATGTCTGGATCGTTAACAACAACAACACAATGTTTGTCAGCATTAATGTGCATTAGGATGTATGCTTCTTTATGATCATCAGATATCTTGTCAACCAATGGGGCATATTCTCATCCCGAACTCGGAATCTCCAGAAGAATTTATTAGTTTGCTTATTTGTTTCTATCTTATTATAGAGGGTTGTCAAGACTAACCTCTTGTTGTCTTCCTCTATGTCTTTTGCCAATAAATCTTTCCAGCTGAAAGTTAAGACATCTAGCCCCCTGTAAAAGCTGTTCTCATGAACCAAATGATGAAGCCGTGAAACAAACCCACAATTTTCAGAGTGTAAGACAAATGACTTGACCACATCATCATGGAAACCCCCAAATCTATCCATTTGCTACGTTTCAGTTTTCTTCTCTTCTTATTATGGGCCCAAACTATATTTACTGCCTTTTTCTAATGGCCGTGATAAACTGTTATTGCTTTGTGTTTCTACTTATTTCAAAAACAATTTTATGGTCCAGGGAATTGTCATAATTTCTGTTAACAACAAGGCCAGAAGAAATAAACTGAACAGTGTACTGCCTGGCATAGTGCTGTCAGGTGCTAGAAACAGCAATTTATGATAGGCAATAAACTGTGTACTTTACTGTTTCCTCAATATTTAAATACTTAAATGCTCACAAATGCATATAATTTTGTCAATCTAACATCCATGATACAAATTTTAGGTGTACTTAACCCTATGGAGACTGAGCTTTTTAGGAGTTTCAGTGCCAAAAAGACGAAGCCTTCAGGAGGGGATTCTCAGAGTTTATACACAACAAATTATAAAAATTAAAGCAATTAATTAACATTTTCAAAATTTAATATATTTGTGTGGGAAATTGAATGAGCTAACAGAATATTTATGAATCAAAATGAAATCTCTATCCTTATTTGCATAATTTATGCAAGCATTTTTTAAAACTTGGAAACAAACATGACTAACCTAAAAGAATTGGGTGAATGTTTTGATGGATGAAGCTTAAATAAGTCCTAACACTTGTGTTTTGGGAAGTAAGGTCCTTAGAGGCCCTTCAGACACTTCTGGCTCATGGTTCTACTCATTTTCCTGCCTTCAACTATGTTTTGGTTGCGATGACACAACAGTGCTTTTCGCCATTGTTGGGCACAGGTAACCCCAGAAAAAAAATTGACTAAAATTACGAACACATCAAACTTTCTAGAAAGCCGTCAATGAACAGTCCATATGTGCAAGAAATGCAAGAAGCAATCTGACTGGCTGGTACGAAAACCTGCCAGCCATTCTCAAGGCTTGCATTACATAGGGCCGACTGATCGACCCAGTTGTCCTTTTGGCTACTTTGTGTATGGCCGATATTTTGGCCGCATCGTCTCCAAAGGGTTAAAACCTTCTTCTTCTTCAACATTCCGAGATCTTAGAAGTTCTCTGCTGCAGATATAACCTGCTTCCTTTCTTCTCTGTGACCAGCCTTCTTCTTTTTCCAGTTGGTGACTCCATGTCCTGTAGGTCTGCCTTTATATTATCTCTCCACCGTATTACTGGTTCTTAAATCCATTACATTTTTCGGCTTAGATATCTGTTTTATGATGAAATGTAGTTGTAAAAATGTGTTGGCCTTATGCTTCAGACCAAAAATTGGAGGGCCAGAGTGTTTCTCTTTGTCGGTGTCTCTCTTTGTTTTTTGTTCCCTACCCTTTGACCTGTTCAGCTTGGAAGACCTTGCTGGTAGCTAGACTGCTGTCTGCAAAGCTCTCCGGAAGACACATAATCTCACCCATCTGAAAACACAAATTCACTCAACGTGGCATGGTGGAGACATGTCTGTGTGCTTAAACCATCAAACACATACACATAAACCTTTTTTTTTTTAAAGCCATGATTATGAACAACTTACACTGCACAGCGTAACTGGCAAGTATCCCAGCGCTTGCTTCAGAACATACTAACTTGCCTGACAATATGTCTCGTTTCACTTGCAAGAAGAAATGGTACCTGGAACATCCAGTTGTGAAAATATTTTAAAAATTTACAATCACAAAATCAACATCACCATCGTTATCATCATCATGAATCCAGTCCAGATGTGTGGGTCCTCGTGTCTCTCTGGTTGACTGGAAGGGCCGAATGTAAGACGGGCCTGCGTGCCAAATTTGTGACCCTTTGAAAATAAAGATTGTTCGTTCGTTCTCCCCAGATCTTGGTCTTTGAATAAATTCCACTGATGATATTCCACCATGTCATCACTTCAGACCATCAAGCATCCTCTCTCTTGGTCTGCCTCCTCTACTGTTCAATATGATGTTCTCCAATGCCTCTCTTCTCATCACACCAAAGAACACTGACTGCCTCTTTTTCTAAAAGCCATATATAGTTTTCTATTTTCATTAGCAATTTTCAGGTAATCCTTGTTAATAATTATGCCTGTCCTCAAACATACAAACAGCAAACTCAAGAACAGATTTCTTCTTCTTTTTCTTCTTCTTTTTTTCATCATATTCACCAGCTGTAAACTTTGGCAGAAAGTTCTGGTTCTTTGTTCACTTCTGGACTTTAGTCTGGTTCCAGAACTTGACTTTTGCATGCACATCCGTTTTACCAATGTGGCTTATTTGTAAGCAGACTGTTGGCTACTTACCTCTCAGGCAGATGCACTCTGTCGTCAAAGGAAACCCCTCAACAACATGCTTGTTAGCGAGGCAGCAGGCAAAATTCCCCCCCCCCCCCTTTTCCAAGTGGTCCCCTGGAACCTACAGAGGACGATGTATTTCAACTAATGTCACACAAAATATTAAAGGCATTTAGACTGAAAGTTGGTTGAATATTCTTTTCAAGACTTTGCAAACCAGTCCTAGCATTAATAGGCTGGGGTGTGATTTTACTAAGTAATATTATACCCAAAAATTTGCCATTACTCTCTGAACAGTATAACACTGATACTAATGTCAAAATCAGTACAATGCTGTCAGCTGCTAAATCGTCTGCTGCTGATTTCAAACCATGGGATGTCGACATTGTTAAAAAAAAAATGCATGCTCAACTCAATCTCACCAGAGGCTGACAGTGAGACAGAACATTACTGTATTTCCATAACAGAATATTATATCAAACAAATGTTTTATTATAAACTAGAGTGAAATTACAAACATGCCTTTTTTTGGATGAATCAGGTAAGCACAAATAATTTAAACAGAAATACAGTTCTGCCTTGAAGTGATATTGTAGGCAGTGATGCCCTGAAATGACCCTAACATGCTATGAGATAGTAATTTACTGCTGTGTGGTAACAAGGTAGCACTGCTCAAAAATGTCTTCAGAAAGAAGTGTCAATGGCACTGCTCAAAAAATGTCTTCAGAAAGAAGTGTCAATGGCACTGCTCAAAAATGTCTTCAGAAAGAAGTGTCAATGGCACTGCTCAAAAAATGTCTTCAGAAAGAAGTGTCGATGGCACTGCTCAAAAATGTCTTCAGAAAGAAGTGTCAATGGCACTGCTCAAAAAATGTCTTAAGAAAACAGTGTCAATTGCACTGCTCAAAAAATGTCTTCAGAAAACAGTGTCAGTTGCACTGCTAAAAAATGTCTTCAGAAAGAAGTGTCAATGGCACTGCTCAAAAAATGTCTTCAGAAAACAGTGTCAATGGCACTGCTCAAAAAATGTCTTCAGAAAACAGTGTCAATAGCACTGCTAAAAAATATCTTCAGAAAACAGTGTCAATGGCACTGCTAAAAAATGTCTTCAGAAAGTAGTGTCAATGGCAATGCTCAAAAAATGTCTTCAGAAAACAGTGTCAATTGCACTGTTCAAAAAATGTCTTCAGAAAACAGTGTAAATAGCACTGCTAAAAAATATCTCCAGAAAACAGTGTCAATAGGCACTGCTAAAAAATGACTTCAGAAAGCAGTGTCAATGGCACTGCTCAAAAAATGTCTTCAGAAAGAAGTGTCAATGGCACTGCTCAAAAATGTCTTCAGAAAACAGTGTAAATGGCACTGCTAAAAAATATCTTCAGAAAACAGTGTCAATAGGCACTGCTAAAAAATGACTTCAGAAAACAGTGTCAAAAACTGAAGTCTGAGATGACACTGAGCAACAATATTACACTATGAAAACAATGTCCATTAAAGATGCCCTTAGACAATAATGTTCAATACTGATGACTGGGTCAAAAGTTTCCAACATTAATGCCTCTGATGCCTATACATAATAATGCCTTGAGATGACACTGAAAAATAATGCCTTGAGATGACACTGAAAAATAATGCCTTGAGATGACAATGTCCAACACTGGTGCTCTGACACCACAACAGTTACACCCTGTAATGTCACTACAATAGTGAAGCCCTGAGATGAACATGTAGTATTCAAGCCCTGAGATAAACATGTAGTATTCATGCCCCGAAATGAACATGTAGTATTTATACCCTGAGATAAACATGTAGTATTCATGCCCTGAGATGAACATGTAGTATTCATGCCCTGAGATGAACATGTAGTATTCATGCCCTGAGATGAACATGTAGTATTCATGCCCTGAGATGAACATGTAGTATTCATGCCCTGAGATGAACATGTAGTATTTATGCCCTGAGATGAACATGTAGTATTCATGCCCTGAGATGAACATGTAGTATTCATGCCCTGAGATGAACATGTTGTATTCATACACTGAGATGAACATGTAGTTAGTATTCATGCCCTGAGATAAACATGTAGTATTCATGCCCTGAGATGAACATGTAGTATTCATGCCCTGAGATAAACATGTAGTATTCATGCACTGAGATGAACACGTAGTATTCATGCCCTGAGATGAACATGTAGTATTCATGCCCTGAGATGAACATGTAGTATTCATGCCCTGAGATGAACATGTAGTATTCATGCCCTGAGATGAACATGTAGTATTCATGCCCTGAGATGAACATGTAGTATTCATGCCCTGAGATGAACATGCAGTATTTATACCCTGAGATGAACATGTAGTATTCATGCCCTGAGATGAACATGCAGTATTTATACCCTGAGATGAACATGTAGTATTCATGCCCTGAGATGAACATGTAGTATTCATGCCCTGAGATGAACATGTAGTATTCATGCCCTGAGATAAATATGTAGTATTCATGCCCTGAAATGAACATTTAGTATTCATGCCCTGAAATGAACATGTAGTATTTATACCTTGAGATGAACATGTAGTATTCATGCCCTGAAATGAACATGTAGTATTCATGCCCTGAGATGAACATGTAGTATTCATGCCCTGAGAGGAACATGTAGTATTCATGCCCTGAGATGAACATGTAGTATTCATGCCCTGAGATGAACATGTAGTATTCATGCCCTGAGATGAACATGTAGTATTCATGCCCTGAGATGAACATGTAGTATTCATGCCCTGAGATGAACATGTAGTATTCATACCCTGAGATGAACATGTAGTATTCATGCCCTGAGATGAACATGTAGTTAGTATTCATGCCCTGCGATAAATATGTAGTATTCATGCCCTGAAATAAACATGTAGTATTCATGCCCTGAGATGAACATGTAGTATTTATACCTTGAGAGGAACATGTAGTATTCATGCCCTGAGATGAACATGTAGTATTCATGCCCTGAGATGAACATGTAGTATTCATGCCCTGAGAGGAACATGTAGTATTCATGCCCTGAGATGAACATGTAGTATTCATGCCCTGAGATGAACATGTAGTATTCATGCCCTGAGATGAACATGTAGTATTCATGCCCTGAGATGAACATGTAGTATTCATGCCCTGAGATGAACATGTAGTTTCATGCCCTGAGAGGAACGTGTAGTATTCAAGCCAAAATGTATTCCAGTTTTTCTCTTTTTCTCCTTCTCATGACATGACCAAAGAATCTAGACTTGTCTCCTTCTGATTTCAGTATTAGTAAAAGTCATCAAAAGAAATGTGATAACACACACTGAGTCAAAGAAACTTGTATGTAAGCAAACAACCCATTGAAACTACAGCTGCCTCAGGCATATGGTGCTGCAGACAATGGGTGATGTCCTCAATATCATTTTAGCGGCCTTTACTTTCTAGAGTATATCCTGGTACCCATTTTAGACTGGGTTTGCACGGGTGCCTGGGCTAGTTATGAAAATCAACATCTATGTAGACTGAAACCCAAGATTTACAGAACACAGGAGACAGATTTGTTTGTTTGTTTGTTTTAGTATCCAGAAGCCATGAGTTGTTAACCCTTAGGCTTGGTATTATGGATAACGCAACCTTTCGGCCTTGATTCCATTGTAAATACCGTAAATCTGGGAGAAATGTGGCTTTTCTGCCTACCCCCGGGAGTGAACCCGGACCACAAGGAGTTCATCACCGCGCAATCCGGTTTAGCCAACTACACAAGAGAGTCGGGCGACACAGATTTAAGTTTGTTATCCTTATTATTTTTTCCCCTCCTTAAGTGTTCTGTGAACATGCTTGCTAGGTGACTGTTAACAGTTCAACTTTAAGAGTGCGAATCTCTAACATGTATCAATAACTAAACATACCTTGTATATTCCTCAGCTAATTTGCTGGGGTCCGACACATAAAACTTGACACGAAAGAAGAATTCGTATGTTGGTCCTAAAACAAATCAAAACTTCAATCATGAATGACACTTTTGACAACTGGTGATCTTCAATAAGGTTTGCTTATTTATACACACATGTCTACTAAAGCAACTAAGAAACTTTTGAATCTTAAAGGCTGAATCAAGAATCTACACCACAGCACTTGGGACACTACCATTAGCACTCCGTCCCCATCTTTAGCAGCAAGCAAAGAGTTCCAGTTCCAATAGCACCAGTTACTGTCTGACTGTATATCCCCTGAGTATTGAGCGCCGGCCAGATCCCCTTGTAACTCCTTAGCAGTGACTGCCTCCACCTCCATTCTCAAACTAGACGTTGTTCAACCTCCAAAGAAGTGTGTCACCTGCAGTCCTCTGCGAGCAAGGACAGGTACACATAAGCTTAAGCTAAGTAAACTATAGCAACAGACTTATAATATTTCAAATTCATGTCTTATACATACCTCTGCACTGTTTCTTTATTGTTTTCAGTGGATCTAGCCAGCGCTGGAAACAAAAACAAAAGTTTATTTAGATTTGATTGGGCAGTCATTTAATATGATCCATCAACAGCTTTCTCTAAGAATAATATTGTAAACAGTGATGAAGCCAGACTACCGATGGAATGACAAGTTAAAACACTGCATAGTCTTCTGACGGAATAAGCTGTACAACATAATCGCAATTATTAAGTGCTTTAACAACCAGAATGAGTAATCATGCATTTCCATATCCTATGATCTCTAACAGCATGTATCAGTGTTTGTGCAGTCACCCCTCCATGACATAACAGAGGGCTGTCAAGAATCAATTGTAGGTATAAATCAAGCACATTCCAACATCTATAATGAATTCTTTGTTGTTGTCAATGACGTTTATTAGTACATATTAAAAGGTGTATGAATGAAAAAATGTATCAAAGGATTGAGACCAGAAGGGCAGAATGTTGAAGGGCCTGCGAGCCAAATTCTTAACCCATTGAAAATAAATCTGTTCATTCATTCTCTTATATTCTCAATGGCGCACTTAATCTTTCTAGTTGTTGCACCCTTTTCAAGTTGTTTGCTTCTCATAAAGTATCAAAAATATGATAGCTGCCTCTTTCTTATGTTTGTAATAAGCTGTCATTCAGCTTTAAGTCACAAACAATGTAGAGTAACGATGAGCTGTTTTTTTTTTTAATATCACCCTAGATGTGCATGTTCCCCATTTATAATCAGATCAAATAACTAATGAGCCCATCTTCAACACGCAAATATGTAGGGAGGTAAATTGAAAGACCATTAGCATAAAGCCACAATCACAACCAACAGAATCAGTCAAGCCTGAGTGGTTTACTGGATCTGAATCAACAGCAATGGCAGGATTGTGGCAACTGGGATTACAGACTGGCAATATCGAGAGAGAAAATCATGAAAAAGATTACAAGAACAGTTAATCAATATAGAACTGATACTATTAGCCATACTAAACTGACAGATTCATCGTAATTATCATCCTTTTGTGCCATTATATGTCACATATGGCACAGTCTATTCTTCCCTGCCATTCTAACCTGTGCACTTGTTTCAATACTGATAGGAGACTCGCTTTCAAATCCAGCTGCGACTCGCTGCAGCCCACAGCTGATGTTCGAAACTGGGCAGTTCCCGGAGTTTACCCAGCCTCTAGGTAATGGGTACCAGAGTTGACACTCTGCGGTAAATGGAGAAAAGTGCTGTAGCTATGAAGTTGCGTGCGGACAACAACACAGGTGGACAGTTTCTTATGAGCTGTCCGTACAGGTGGCAGAGCACTTATGGTTTTAAACCGTGTACAGTGATGCTGGTTCACATCTCCCGACTTTTACCTTTTTACTTTTTTGTTTCAGTATCATGGATGGAATTCAGCTAAACACCCTGGCCTCTCTCATCAACATCTGTCTCGGGGTTTCTTTTGGATGTTCTTGCCTCCTCAATCCATTTGTTTCCCATTCACTGTTTGGTTCTTCTCATGATGTGCCCAATATATTGCCATCTTCTTAGTTTTATAACTGATGATAAAAGCAGTTGTCCAGATATTTCTCTTATTTCTTCACATGTTTTGACTTTATCCTATTTAAGGTCCATCAAATTCCTTATGTTTTCAAAGGCATTCAACTTTCATTCCACGTAGTGAGAGGTCCGATTAAGTGATAACTGATAATATTACTTGTTATGTTTTGTGAGGTTCGGATGCCCTTTAGCTGGAAATAACACAGACAGTGAATGATGAGAAAGATTTTGTTTTTATATCCAGAAACCATGAGTTGTTAACCCTTTTGCTCGGTACTATGGATATTGTAACCCTTTAGCTTTGATTCCTTGATATGTCGTAAATCTGGGAGAAATATGTCTTTTCTGCCTATCCCCGGGAGTGAACCCAGACCACAAGGAGTTCATCACCCGGTCACCACAATGTCAGGTTTAACCAACTAAGCTAGAGAGCCGGGCATGGGAATGATGAAAGATATAAGTAACTGCTCTATCAAAATTAATAGGACACTATGATAAAAATAAGCATGATACAAGACTCAGAAAAAGTAGTATGGTTAAATATCAATATCCCACCACCATCATCATCATCATCATGTGACATACTAATCATTGTGTACTTTTCACAGAAATGACCAGGTTCTTAGAACAGGCATGTGTTGCAGTCTTTTATACACCATCTGGCCATGTCATCTAGTTAACTGTCCTTTTCTTGCACCTTACCCATCAATTTAATGACCACAGCTAGAATACCCTTATCAAATACAGCTATTACAATTCTTATTAGACTATTTCTAGAAACTCAATTATTTATTAGTGTATATTCTCAGTCTTTTCTCAGTTCCAACAAAAACTATTAATCATTAAATATCTTACAACTTACAACTAAATCCACCAAAGCAGCAACAACAACAAAATGTGACAAAGACAGACACAGTCACAGTCAGCAGTGAGCAAAGCATGAACAAGTATTTTCAAACTAACATATATGCAATACTATCCTCACTGTAATAAATAACCAGAAGGAATCTATCTCTTGAATAAAATAACAAACAAAATTTGCACAATGAGACTACAGAGGAAATTAAACATAAAATATCACATATTTTCAAAAAAATGTACAACAGTATATAAAACCTGATATCCATGACATTAAAAAGAAAAACACACACACACACACACACACACACACACACACACACAAACAGCCCACCTTGTATCAGTCGTCACCACGCGGGATGCAATTTTTCATTACTTAAAGCCCCACCCTGGCTTTTGCCGGGGGCCCTAAATATAGCTAGGCCTGAAATATGGCCTAACGGCTAAATGGGGTTTCCGGGACCTCTCCATAGGTGATCCTCATACTTTGTGTCACTGAGTGTTTATCGCTTGTGTGATGTACTGGTGGGGTACAACTTACGCACATACATACAAAGCCCACCACATGATACGAAAGCAATGATGTACTGGCGGGACAAGTGCTACTTACAAGTGTATCATCTCCTGGAGCTAAGTCTAAGTATTGTAGTCCAAAGTAATCTTTCTCCACCAACTCAAGATGTTCAAAAACTTTATCCAGAAGGTGCTGGGCCTTGCTTCGCTTCTGAAAGTGTGTGGATTAATATGAAAGCAAACTGACAATCTAGCACTATAGTTTAGTTTACGTATCTAAAACTGGCATAGCTGCTTCGGAAATTATGTGGACAAGAATTAAACTGAGTCCATAATCTAGGATTATAATTCAGCTTAAAAGTAATTACTATAGATGGTATGGTCTGTTTGAGAAAGAAATGAACGTTAAGTGGCAAGACAGGGTCCTGCATACTGTCGTACTGTATACAGCTGGCATTTCAAACATCAATACCATCTTGATGCAGTCACAGATTCCATGTGCAGGTTACCTTGTCCGATTGTCAGACCATCAGCTCCCAAAATTAGTCATTCATTGTAAGATACAAGAAGGTAGACCTTCCCATGGTGGCCAAAAAAAAGTGCTTCACGCACAGGCTAAAAGCATCCATTAGAGCAGCGGTTCTCAACCTACATTTGCAACCTTTTTGTGGGTCGAACGACCCTTTCACATGAGTCGCCAATGACTACTGGAAAACATATATTCACTGTAGTTATGAAGAAGCAACAAAAATAACTGTATGATTGGGGGTCACCACAATATGAGAAACTATTAAAGGATCACCCCATTAGGAAGGCTGAGAACCACTGGAGTAAAGCCTTCAATACAAACCCTGACATCTGGGAGGCCGCTGCACAACCGGACTATTTGGTGAAAGCCTATCTGAAGAGGTGCAGTGACTAGCAAAGCACCTAGAAAAGGGGCAGCTGAACAGAGGAAGATAGACTAGAAGGACCGGTAATGCAGGCCCTTTATCTACGGACACTGCTCCCTGTCCTCACTGTCCTAGATTCTTCTGGACCCACACTGGGCTTATAAGTCACCTCCAGATTCACAGATAACTAGTCTTATGACGGGTGAAAGAAAGAAATGTCCTTATCACTTGTGATGGAAGAACTGACTACAGATTTTACCCTATATCTACTAAACTACTGTATGGGTCATTCAGTTACAGAAAATATGAGCCAAACACAATCGTCCCAATATAGGTAAAATCCCTTTACTTGTACTTTAATTTGTTCATGACAGCAACCCAGTCATACCACATAGTGATGTAATTCACATATTCACCTTTATTTTTAAAACAAATTAAGTTGACTTTTTTTTTAAATGAGTTGTCTCCTCAAGTGTTATGAAACATAAAAAGTCTTGATGTACAGGTGGAATTTAATTAAGACTACTGAACACTCAAGAACTGTATGACTGAGGAGGGGCCACCCACAGTAGTTCTCTTTTCTCAAATCTGGGTGGATGGGGTGTGGAGTAATGGGAGCTGCTCTCTCCGACACCAGGGGGAGGGGGGTCGCGGAGGGGTAGAGGGGGCACCTGCGCTCTCAGTGAACACATTTTACTCTCCCTATGCAATAAGGCAAGTCAAACTACCGAGGCAATGCAGTATTGGACAGGTAAAAGTGGCCAGGACATTAAGCTCATTAGGGAAACAGTAGTTTTGGGGATTGCAGCAAAATGATGTGCATATAAATATGTATTTGCATAATATGCCAACATTTATGTAAAAGGATAAATGCACACTTTTTTTATTACAGAAACATGCACATACACACATAAATGTGCAACTGCATCATATATAACAAACATTCAAACATAAAGATCAATATACAACTTTTCACAATTCATAAAAAGCTAATAATTTTTTAAAGCTAGAACACAGATAACATAGCCAGCTAACTTTTTACAGGCTGAAATATCTAAACCAAAAAGAACAAAAGGAACTGACTCCTAAAATCTGGCTGAAACTTCTAAAACAAAAGACAGTAACCCTTACATCATTACTGAAACCTCTAAAACAAAAGATATTAACTCTTACGTCTTGACTGAAACTTCTACGTAAAACACAGTAACCATTACATCTTGACTAAAATTCTTAAACAAAAGATTGTAAATCTTACATCCCGAATGAAACTTCTAAACCAAAGACATTAACTCTTACATAGTGATTGTACCTTCTAAAACAAAAGTCATAATTCTTAACATCTTGGCCAAAACTTCTAAAACAAAAGACATCTGCCCTCACATCCTGACTGAAACTTCTAAAACGAAAGACACATCTTGATTGAAATTTCTTGAATAAAAAAACCACAAAACAAAAAACAAAAAAACATTTAACTCTTACATCCACTTCAAAAGACTCCACAGTGTCGTCAAGAAAATGAACGATACAGCTGACAGTTTTGGGTGTACGGTCTTGCAGGTGTGCCATGTCAGATGTCTGTGCACTGCAGTTACTGCTGGACATCACCTTCATGGACATGACCATCTGCTGTTCTGAAACAGTTATCATTTATTGACTCTATGAACATCAGAATTACTTTGCATAAAAAATAATAAATAGTTACAATGATTGACTCTATGATCTCTATGAATTTATCGACTCTATGTTGATCATAACTGCTTTGCATTCCTCTTGCTAATGAGAAAGATTTGCTGAATGAACTCAATCAGTTAAATACATAGAATGTTTCTTCATGTGGCTCTGTGACGTAGAGGGTAGTGAATGCAGTTAACAATTTTATGATCCTCAGGTATTAGGGTTCGTTTCCCGCGGTGGACAGTTTTCAAGCGAGAAATTCTTGTGATTTTCGGACAGTAGTACGAGAGTCACACCATGGAAGAGATTGTGGCCTCGCTGTATAATATTTTTTTTCGATTTTCAACTGCCAATTGACATTTTTACGTGCACAGCAATACACACGAGAGTCCGGTCTTACTACCCTGAGACCAGGGGAAATAACCAGAAGTCCAAGTGAGAAAATACCAGCATTCACCGGGGCCTGAACCCCGGACCTCCAGCACTGCAGGCGGTAGCCATGCTTCGAGACCACTCAGCTCCCTGTCATAACACATTATAGAAAGGATTAAAGCAATCTTTGCTGTTTTATAAATATGCCAGAATTACCCTATGTACATATGGATGTGTAATGAAAGTCTCCAGGCTTTTTGGTCAGCTGTTAATACTCTTGACTTTTGAATTCCTGGATCATCTATGTCAGACAGTTCAGGGTTTACACTAGTTTCTAGTGACCTCTTGCGGTGGCCAAATTATGGTTCCGGGTTAGAATCTTTACAGTCCACACAGCTGTGTGAACTGTCTCCTTGCTAACTAAGGGGAGATTAGCAGGGATAGGTTTGCATATGAAGTTTAAAGGGGCAGATTGATATGTTTCTGTCAACTGAGAATGCGACAAGCTGGCAAATAAAAGCCTTGCCTCTTAACACAGTCGCGGTGGCACAGTAACAAGTGTGCTTGCCTACCAAAACCATGGTTCTGGTTCAATCCCCAGAAGACGTAGGTTTATTGTTTTCACATACCCAACGGCTCGGTGATCACCCTCTGTAGCTTAGGCGCTGTGAACGTGCCTTACAATTCCGAGGGGTTAACTTCGATCCCAGCTGCAGGCGATTTGGCAGCAAACTGTCTTGCGCTGGTTTCGACAGTACTATCAACAGCCCAACATTCAGTGCAATGGAAATCTACTGAACGTAAAACTGCTTAGTGACATCGCAAAGAGCCACATAAAGATGCTGGGGTTGGTTCTGCAACGTCTTGAAAAGGACACTGAAGTAACTAAAAATGAGTACTAGTCAATGTTCTGAATTTCTAGGAACTGCCTGCAAAAGAAAGGGAGACTACCCCGTCGTGTGTGCCACAACCTAGAACAGCAACATCATCCTGTTATGTGCGCTGCCCAGTTGCGCCACAGATCTCAGTGCTTGGTATTTTGAATCAATTCCACTGATGATATTCAACATTGCCACCGTATCATCTCTCCTGGTCTGCCTCTGCCCCTTTTGCCGCTGATGGTTCCAGTCATCACGTTCTCAAATGCCTTTTTTCTCATTACAAGACAGAGCAACACTGACTTGTCTCTTTCTTACAGTATAGCTGTGTATAGTTTTCTAATTTCATTAGCCATTGCCAGGCAGAACAGTAACAGCCTAACATTCTACCCACTTACCAGCAGTAACAGCCTAACATTTTACCCACTTACCAACAGTAACAGCCTAACATTCTACCCACTTACTAGCAGTAATAGCCTATCATTTTACCCACTTACCAGCAGTAACAGCCTAACATTTTACCCACTTACCAACAGTAACAGCCTAACATTCTACCCACTTACTAGCAGTAATAGCCTATCATTTTACCCACTTACCAGCAGTAACAGCCTAACATTTTACCCACTTACCAACAGTAACAGCCTAACATTCTACCCACTTACCAGCAGTAACAGCCTAATATTTTACCCACTTACCAGCAGTAACAGCCTAACATTTTACCCACTTACCAGCAGTAACAGCCTAACATTTTACCCACTTACCAGCAGTAACAGCCTAACATTTTACCCACTTACCAGCAGTAACAGCCTAACCACTTACCAGCAGTAACAGCCTAACATTTTACCCACTTACCAGCAGTAACAGCCTAACATTTTACCCACTTACCAGCAGTAACAGCCTAACATTTTACCCACTTACCAGCAGTAACAGCCTAACATTTTACCCACTTACCAGCAGTAACAGCCTAACATTTTACCCACTTACCAGCAGTTAACATTGTACCCACTTACCAGCAGTAACAGCCTAACATTCTACCCACTTACCAGCAGTAACAGCCTAACATTCTACCCACTTACCAGCAGTAACAGCCTAACCACTTACCAGCAGTAACAGCCTAACATTTTACCCACTTACCAGCAGTAACAGCCTAACATTCTACCCACTTACCAGCAGTAATAGCCTATCGGGCATCATTTGCCTTGACTGGGATTTTCTTAGCCAGACATAAACCCTCGTTGCATAAAAATGCTGTATTAAAATGAACATAGCCGAGAAAACAGGCACAACATACTCGGCATAAAGGGACAGCCAAAAGCACCAAATAAAAACCATCTATTTTGCTTACAGAACCGCACATTGATTGAAATCCTGGAGAAGTGGAAGGGGGGGGGGGAGAGCTCTCCACAAGCACTAAACCTATGGACATTATTGTCTCAGCTTCACAAAGATAATCCAGGTAAAAATAAGTGATCTCATTCTGAGCTTCGTGAACAGGCATTCTGTACTAACAGCTGTTGACTGCATGCAACACATGTGGGGGGAAGGGGAAAAGGAGGAGGGTCGGGCGGGGAGAAATACACGAAAGATGACAACGATCCAAGGACAGATAATGAAATATCTAGGAAATCATGTAAGAAACATGGCGAATAAAATTATCAAACTGTACAGTATATTGTTCCAGTATTACTTGTTTATTGTGTCTAATACACAAGCGAGGATCGAAATGACATCATGGCACCAGCTCGACAAAAGGAACGCCTGAACTGGGCATCCTACATCTATTCCAGCTTTTGCCATGCCAACACCAGGTCTTTTTAGATACAACGAGAGACATGGCCAGGATCAGCCAGTAGCTCCTACCCCACCCCGCCCTCCCCTTTTTTCAATTTGTTTAACAAGTTCTCTAATAAAATGAGTGAAGACTACATCACTATGACTGACTGCAGATGTACCAGGTCATCAACGACCGGGGGATGTTGACGGTCGACACACGCCACCACCATTAGCGATGATACCAACAGAAAACAAAATCCCACCTAAACTATAATATAAAAAGAGCAACAAATAACACAACGGCGATTATCAACCACGAAATAGCAGCGCAATTACGTGCCCGAAGTAGCCAGGACCAAGAAGACCGCAGACCGGCAAGAATCCTCAAAGTAACAGAAAATCAATACGCGTCAGACCATCGAGGGAGAGGCCGACATCTTCGCACTGTCGAAGGACAAAATTATAAGCTTTTGTGAAAGGTTTTCGGCAAAAGAAGTGCGGCCAACCTCTGAATCCCCACGAAAACGTAATGGTAGCAGTCAATAAAACAGACGGACGGACGGACAGACAGACAGAAACAATTGGACGACCTTTTGTTGAAAAATCTGTTCTGTTATAGTCCGTCCCAAAAGTTCTGCCCAGCTTAAAAAATCGGTAACTGTAAAATTTTGGTGTAAACTGTTGATATGTGCAATGCGGCTGATTAATCTTTATCTTTATCCTTGTAAACTGTTAATGTAAACAAACAACTAGTTTTCATTAATCAAACAATCAGTAAACAAACAACTAGTTTTCATTAACCAAACAATCAGTAAACAAACAACTAGTTTTTATTAATCAAACAATCAGCATGCTTACAATTAAGTGAGTAACATGAACTTTTCAAAACATCATACTGTACGAGTGTCGTAGGCGTTTCACTCTCAGATGGTCATCTCCATCATTAGTCTCCTGAGAGCTGTGGGCTTTCAATTGTATACTGGATATGCTATCAAAATAATCACGCCGCATCGCTGTACACATGAAGTTATTTCCAAACAATCTTCGCGCGTGTCTCAATTATTGTATATTCTATTTTTTTAAGGGATGATCAGGCACATCGATGACCAGATACAGGAGCAAGGACAAGAAAATTCTAATATCAAAGTCACCAAGGTGGATCGACCAATGACAAGGACAAACAGTCCAACAACGGCTGTGAAAAGGCGTAAGGGCAAAACATGTCCAACAACAACAAAAGGTACAGAAAGCTGAGATAAAAGGAGACACGGTATACCCAAAGGTATGCCATGCTGGAAATGCTAAAAAGTTTGACGCACCAAGGTCTTTTGTGGTCCGAGTTCACGCTTAGCTGTAGGCAGAAATGCCACATATTTCCCAAATTTACGGTATCCATCGTGGATTCAAGGCAGAAGGTTTGCGATATCCACAGTACCAAGCCAAAGGGTTTACAGCTCATGGTGCCCGGGGAAGGTGGAAAAAAAAGGGGGGAGCGCGCACCGAGGTCAGCTGTCTCGGCAAGATAAATTTGCTGATACTGGGCGGAAGCACGCCGTCCAGTGTTGCCACTTTGGATCTTTTATATCCAAATTTAGATCTTTTTCATTGCATTTAGATACTGTTTTTGACGTTTAGATCGTAAATATTTTTCTAGAAACTTTTCATATGGAGTTAGATATTTTATAGATTTTTTTTTCTTTCATTGTCAATTTAATAATTACTGTGTAAAATATTTACTTCAATATTTTTGTTTTGGTCTGGCACGTACATTGTGACAACTGCCATTACTTGAACTTTGAACTCTCACTATGGTCAACGCACAAATATCTGGCAGCCCCGGTACTGATTAATAAAAACGCGCGTAAATCATACTAACTTTGTTTCAACTGTATCCTCACTGTGCTGACTTTGCGTTTCTTTTTCATG